CTGCCACATAAGTCACCTAAAATTATCACATAAATCACCCAAAATTGTCACAGAAGTCACCTAAATTGACACAAAAATCACTTAAGGTTGTCATAGAAATCACCAAAAAATAAATAAAACTTTTGTAACATAAGCCACATGTAGTTGACACAAAAAGCTATAAACTATTGGAGCGGAATTCATCTAAAATAAATACGATAGAGAAAAGTCATTTAAAATTAAAATTAATACTCATGGAACAAAGTCAACCCAAAGCAAAGAAAATTCCCGTGGAACAATATTTATTTATTCCTTGGAAAAAGTCAAGGTCAAGTTTCTTAAAAAAAAAAAAAGTCAGTCTTGGTAATAATGCCTTGCTTATTCACTTAATTTATGAGAAAATCTAAATGTTTAAAAATTATAAAAACAATAGAAAACACCTGAAATTAGATTCTTAGAGAAAGCAACTAAAATAATAAAATTCTTAAAAATTTTAGTTAAAATAAAATTGTGAGAATAACATCATCCCAAAACAAAATTTTAGAATTAACTTATTTGGGTTAGAATCTTGTTAAGCAAAAAACAAAATGGGCAAATGATGAAATTTCTTCAAACCAATGTTACAATAATTGGGATTAATAGTATGCTTGAATTACTTCTTTATACATGAACCAGTGATAATTTGCGGCTAAAAGATTTAAGGCAACATTATACAATGTATCAAATATCCCAAACACAAGTTATTTGTTATCCAGAAATCTTGTTCACCCATATATGAATATATAGTAAAACTTCCTTAGTATATGAAAAAAGATTTGACAAAAAGGAATCACATGGTAGCCAAAGATGCGTGATGATCAAGCTTAATCTAAGAAGTAGACTAAAAAAAAAAAAGGGACATGGTAATCAAGAGTAACACAAAATAAAAAATAATAAAAAAAGGAAGAGACATCGTATCAGCAAAATAACATAAAAAAGGTAATAAAAATAATAATAATGAAAACTCTTGACTCTACTATTAGTCAGTTTTATTTTGGTAGTCACTCATATAAAGTGACAAACTAGAAGAAAGCTAGAACATAAATCTTGACCAAAATTTGAATCAACAATAAGACGCAAATTTTTGTTTTTAAAAAAACGTGAAAACCAAAAAGAAAATACAAAACTTTTGATTGAGTTGATACACTTTAATCAAGACCAAAAAATTAAATAAAATCAATATGTCTGATTATGATATCGAACCTGGGGTAAATTGCAAATCTGNCAAAACTTTTGATTGAGTTGATACACTTTAATCAAGACCAAAAAATTAAATAAAATCAATATGTCTGATTATGATATCGAACCTGGGGTAAATTGCAAATCTGGGTCTATTATTGAATCGAAAACAATCATAGAAAAAAAGAAAAAAGTCATAGCTTACAAACTTAATTCAAAGTTCAAACTCGTGGACTATCCCGTTGACCATANTGGGTCTATTATTGAATCGAAAACAATCATAGAAAAAAAGAAAAAAGTCATAGCTTTCAAACTTAATTCAAAGTTCAAACTCGTGGACTATCCCGTTGACCATAAAAACTTTGAGTACCCATAACTTTGTATATATAGACATTTTAGTTTTATGTATTTAAGTTAAAATAGGAATTTGTTATCCTATTCATAGATGAACTAAAACTCTATATTTTAGGTCCATGTATTTGAATAAAAAAAGATTTTTGACTTTAATCATAGATAAGTTGGAAGTCTATGTTCTAGGACTCATATATTCAAATAAAAATAGAATTATCAAGTCTGTATGGTTTTGGACTCTATATCAGTAGAGGGCTAGAAAATAATAACTAAATTGAATTCTATATCTTGTTTATAGTTCACCATGGACTATAATTTCAATTAAAATATGTGCATATATATACTAGGAGTAACTTGTATCAATCGGTTAATTTGGAGGAGTGAGAAGTGAAGATCCCAAAAAGAGAGAGTGAAGAATGAGGAGAGGAATGTAAAATTTAATATGAATGATTTTAAGAGAGATGTTGGTAGCTGTTGGATGAATATATATAACACCGTTGAATGAGCTTATTGAAGCNGTAAAATTTAATATGAATGATTTTAAGAGAGATGTTGGTAGCTGTTGGATGAATATATATAACACCGTTGAATGAGCTTATTGAAGCTTGTCCTATTTTATATTGTAGATATATCGATAAATTTAAATTTAATCAAACTCATTTAAAACACAAATCGAGACCCATTTACATATTTATAAAATATTAATTATGTAAATAAGTCTCGAGGGAGCATTTGTAGACATTTAAAAAATTTTGATTAGCAAATTAATATCTATAATTGAGCTCAAATCAATTAGATAGATGAAATTGAGTTGGACCTAAATTTCATAAGCCTAAATGATACATGTCTAGATTTAATTAAACACTATTACTATCGAGACATAATTTAGGGAATAATTTAGAGGCTTAATGTATTATGACTATTAGATTGATAGTGTTGAGACCCAATAATAATTTAATGACCACAATCATTACNATGATACATGTCTAGATTTAATTAAACACTATTACTATCGAGACATAATTTAGGGAATAATTTAGAGGCTTAATGTATTATGACTATTAGATTGATAGTGTTGAGACCCAATAATAATTTAATGACCACAATCATTACATTGTCAAATTATGTTATTAAATTATGCCTCAATAACATTGTTTTAAATAAATAAACTTAAGTTGGACCAAACTCCATAATCCAANAATTCTCAAATTATGTTATTAAATTATATCTCAATAACATTGTTTTAAATAAATAAACTTAAGTTGGACCAAACTCCATAATCCAAATAATAAAAGCCCAAACATAATTAACTAGTCTTGTTAAATTAAAATGGACTTAAATTATATAGGCCCAAATTAAACAAACTTTTAAAGTTAAAGTGGTTTGGACTTAAATTCCATAAATTAACTAAAACCTACAAATTTATGGATAGTCCATTACCTAAAACTCATATGAGGGGTATTCAAGTAAAAGTACCTTTATATGTATAACTACCACCCTTATATGGATAACTATTCCTAACACTATGAAATAGGTCTAGGGGAGGGCCAAGATGAGGAGAAGAAGCTAAGGAGAAAGAAAGATTGGTGAAGCTCTGCCCGAAGTTCACTTTCAACTAAATTCAAATCATCTTCAAATCATTCAAAACGAAGAACAATATAGAGATTCATCAAAGTACTATCAAATTGAAGAACAAGAGATACATTGAGTCATTTCTCATATTCATCAAATCCACCAAAGCCACCACTAATTGAAGATNAGTATTATCAAATCGAAGAACAAGAGATACATTGAGTCATTTCTCATATTCATCAAATCCACCAAAGCCACCACTAATTGAAGATCGAGAAACACGTCAATCAGGCTCTCATCTTCACTAAATTCACTGAGAATTAGAGAACATTGCACATGAAAAATACGNGTACTATCAAATTGAAGAACAAGAGATACATTGAGTCATTTCTCATATTCATCAAATCCACCAAAGCCACCACTAATTGAAGATCGAGAAACACGTCAATCAGGCTCTCATCTTCACTAAATTCACTGAGAATTAGAGAACATTGCACATGAAAAATACGCAAAAGAGAGTCAACACAACATATTTTAGTTAAAGTCAATNATCAATCAGGCTCTCATCTTCACTAAATTCACTGAGAATTAGAGAACAGTGCACATGAAAAATACGCAAAAGAGAGTCAACACAACATATTTTAGTTAAAGTCAATTAAATTGACTGATATAATTTAACCTTATTTTTTTGTTAATTTACACAGAGAATTTGTCCTTACACATATTTTTCCCTTTCTCTATCAAGTTTGATGCTTATATGAGCTTTACAATTGGTTCTTTTTTTTGCTCAAGAAAATCTGGTTTTGTAATCTCTCTTGTTTGACCCTTGGAACCCTTCTTTGCAACAAACAAACTTCTTTGATGTCAACTCATCTGNAAGAATTTGTCCTTACACACATTTTTCCCTTTCTCTATCAAGTTTGATGCTTATATGAGCTTTACAATTGGCTCTTTTTTTTGCTCAAGAAAATCTGGTTTTGTAATCTCTCTTGTTTGACCCTTGGAACCCTTCTTTGCAACAAACAAACTTCTTTGATGTCAACTCATCTGTTTTCTTGCTCTTATTGTCATATTCTTTTTGAACACCGAAACCTTTATTAAAATCACATTTATTATAAAATTCAAATACATTATTCTCTGAATCAAACTTTAAACCTATATGCGTTCACAATTCACCGAGGCATTGTAATTCCCCATACTCACTAATGATTGAATCTATAATCGTTGTTTAAGCATCCATCTTGANTATTCTCTGAATCAAACTTTAAACCTATATGCGTTCACAATTCACCGAGGCATTGTGATTCCCCATACTCACTAATGATTGAATCTATAATCGTTGTTTAAGCATCCATCTTGATATTTTAAATTTCTCAATTATGTAGACACACATATATGTGATGGCATGGGAATTAAAATAAAAATATATACGATTTAACAGTAAAAAAATAATGCTAATGCTTTCAAGATGACCTCAAACAAGTGAAACAAGAACATAAACCATTAAATAAAACTCCCAGCGAATCTATAATGTAATAAAATAAAAAAATAATAAATAACCATAGGATAAAGAAAACATACCATGCATGGGTATTAAGTCAGAACGGTTCATTGATGAGCCAAAAAACTTTTTTTGAAAAGTGAGTTTTGTCTCTTTCTCTCTTGGAATATGTTTTGTGAATCCTTATAAATTTGTTTTCACTTGGCGAACCATTGTTTGTTCTAAAACTTGGAAGGGAAATTTTGACTGAATGTTTCATCCGTTTGATAAGGAATGCGTGGCGTGTGTCAATAGGAGTTCACCATACAAATGTTTGATAAAAATTTGTGCAGCATATCATTGCTGGTGATTGAATCTCAACCCTTGAAAAACAAATAGACGGGTGTCGCCTTGATATAAAGAAATGGAGATATGCCGGAGCCTCGAAAAACAAGACATTCCTGATGGCCGTTCGACCCACAACCCCCACTCTAGCCACTTCGTGAAATTTCTCGCTAACAAACAGACTAGGGTTATCGCGGATTGACGCCACTGCAGAAAACGGAAGGTCTATTGATTTGGTTGCCGAGAAAGATCGATAATGGTAATTCGAATGTATTTCAATGGTATGATGTGAAGATTCCTTAATTTTTTTGTCAATTTTGTTTTCAATAGTCGGTGTTCATTGCTGAGTTGAATGAAGTCCTGATCAAAAGAGCTAGGGGAGGATGTTACTCGGGATTCGAGGTAAAGATTACTCCCCTGTTTCGAGTTTTTCTTCCATTTGGTTTTCCAAGAAAGCTGATGATGAACATGGATACTGTAAACTGTATTAGAATTATTCCGTTTGTGGTTTAATTAGTCTGATTGAGAAAATGCTAGTGAATTGTTTGAACGCAATTCATACTCTAGATAGATGATTCATTCTCTCGGACGATGGGAATCTGAGAAATAGAGAGTATGAAATGTCTGCACCATATACTTGGCATAGTATGAAATGCGAGAGGTTATTTTGAGAATATTGGAACCATCAAATACTCTTTTTTGTGATGCATTACATTTCATCAGCTTTTAATTGCAAAGTGATGAAATAGAGCGTTTAGTTTTATACACGCCAAAAAGGAAATATCTTAGCTTTAGCAAAAATGTTGTACAATGCTTGTTTCAGTTGTTTCGTTTGCTTTACCCTAAGTATAAAATCTAGGTGGTTGGGAGTTCAGGGTTCAGAAGCACTCTAAGTTCTTAGAGAATAGTGTGGAGCTCTCTGCTGATAAAGTTAACAAGAGGGGTCTTTGTGCCATTGCTCAGGTACAGTCGCTACATTACAGGCTGCTTGGAGGCCTAGTCGTTTAAAGGTATAGGATTCATGCTTTCAGCTCACTATTCTTGATGAATTTATGAATTTTGGCAACTTGTTTGCAAGGTTGGGTTACCTCTCTTTTCATTTGTTCTAATGACTTTACAATACAACTTTATTTAGTTTGAGGTCATCTTTACAGCGAGTTGGTCATCTATACGTGCCTGTCTCGTGTCTGAGGATGACTATATCTGGAAATCCCATCTATTTTGGAGTACAAGGAACAATTTCATTTCTTTTGTGATTCATTTTTTTAGATGGGGAAATTTCATCAACTTCCAGTGTCACAGAAAATAGTTTTGCATTTGCAGAAGAGTTTGTTGTATATAGTCTTTATTTTTATTTTTTAGTTCATTTGTTTGATATTTTTGATATATGGGGCCAGTGACAGAACTACAAGAATACCAAGGGGGTCCATGCCCCCCCTCATATTTTAAAAATTACTCTATTCCCCCTTCAGATTTTCAAGAATTGTATATGTCCTTGTAGGTTTTCAAAAACTCATTTTTGTATAAAGGATATCCAATTAGTGTATTCGAAAAAGCATAATAGCATAACATTAAACATTTACTAACCAAATGGGGGACATTGTTCACACAGACGAGTGAGTTTTTATAGAAGAAAATACTTGTTTGGACAAATTTGATGGCCAACAGAAAAAAGAAGGAAAACTGTTGTAAAATCAATATATAAATGTAACTTTATATCATCAATAATGCATTAATTCTCAAATGATGTTTACAAATGATTTCATGCTAATATTTATGATACTATATGATTCAAAATTTTTGCAACATGCCATAAAGGAGGTTGTTACAAATTAAATTTCCTAATGATAAGTAAAAAATAATTTTGGGATTTTACAAAGTTTTTGTTATAGTATTTCATAATTAAAAATATAATACTAATAGTAACTTGTCGAATGATCTCATTTCATAAATTCTTAACTATGGCACCGTTTTTATTTGGCCCCCCTCATAATAAATTTTTGGATCCATTCTTGCATGGGACGTAATTCTTGACTAATAAGGTATGGTATGTGGCATGCAATCAATGATGTGCTAATGCCTAATGGAGGAGTATGACTAATGAGAAACCCATATAGCCAAGATTGACTAGATTAGATATACACTTTGGACTTAAGTTGTTGTGTTTGTGTCTTTGTGGGCTTGGCGAAGGTGTAATCACAAGGCCTGTAGCATGTGCAATTATGAGTCTTTTAGAAATGGATGCTTCAGACTCAGATTCCAAGATAACTTTTTGAAACCATTGAGTTGGGCTAAGTTTAGGCATTAGAAATGTGTACGTACTAGCACTCTTGCTAGTTGGTACACTCTCCACTCTGCAGATAGTGGTGCTATACATTACTAATAGAAAGGTAAAGGCTCATTTGACATGAACCCTTGGTCCTTGCTATGGTGGGTTATAACGAACATAGTCGTCAAATTGCGTATTGAAAGGCGTATCACTTTTTAAAAATAGTATATCGTATCGTGTATCGTAAGATATGACACAATTTTAAATAATTAATAATAAAATATTTGTACTTTTGAAAAAAAATCATAGACTCAAAAATATAGCATTTCATTAATATTTCACCAACTAGTAAAGTCACCAACATAGTTCACTAATATTAAAATGCAAAGTTCCCACCATAGTTCAATAACATTAATATTATTTAGCTTTGTAAATTAACAGCTTCAAAAAATGAACATTAATTAAGATTTAGAAATTTTGATACAAAAAACAAAAAAAAAAAAATTAATATTTGGCTTTGTAAATTAACATCAATACTTACAGACAACTGGAGAAGGAAGAAGAAGGTAGTTGTAGATCTAGATTCAGAGGCTACTACTTCGAAGGCTTCGTCGATGAAGAACAGAGAGAAGAGAGAGACTGGGCTTTGTTGAGAAGAATAGTAGGCTTCGTCGAGAAAAACAGAGAGAGAAAGAGAGAGACTGGGTTTCATCGATAAAGAACAAAGAGAAAAGAAAGAGTGGGCTTCGTCGTCGTGAAGAACAAAGGGAAGAGAGAGATGGGTTTCATTGTCATGAAGAAGAGAGAGGGGTGGGTTCATTGTCGTGAAGAACAGAGAGAACAGAGAGAGGTTTCATCTTTGTGAAGAACGGAGAGAAGAGAGAAAGGGGGTTTTGTCGTCGTGAAGAACAGGGAGAAAGAGAAATTTTTTTTTTTGGTAAACCCTAGCCACTAAAATGACATCGTTTCAGTGGCTATAGGGATAAAAAAGTTACATTGGATTAAAACGACGTCATTCTAGTAAAAATAAATAAATAAATAAATAAATAAATAGTGATTGTGCGTATTGTTTGTATTGACCAATACGTATCATATCGTAACAGTGTATCGTATATCGGACGATATTATGCAAAAACGACACAAAATTTTGATTATTTATCTATGTATCGTGACGTATCTTACGATACGCGTACGTATTGTGTATCGTACGATACTAATAACTATGATAAGGGATGAGAACGTATTCTAGTCATAAGTTTGGATATGGCCTCTAGATGCATATGTTACTTTATGAGAAAGGAGAAAAAAAATAGAAGAGCTGATGTGACATTGGAAGCATAGGAGAAAAACTCGAGGAGTTCCTTCAAAGTGGTAATATACGAAAAAAATAGAAATTAATAAAGGAGGTGAAAGTTCTAGAGAAGTACTATTTGTTGCATGTGCATGTACATCTTGTTTGTTTGTTTATTGTTTTTTTTTTTTTTAAGTGTGTGTGGGTGGGAGATAAAGATAGAGAGGAATGGAAAACATCTCTCAATATTTCTTCTCAACTATGGATGAACTTTATTTGATAGAGATCGAAAAGTGATTGGATGAACTTAAATTTAAGAATTGAATTTTATTATTTGTTTTAGTATTATTATATTAGTTAGGGAATATTTGTTTGACTAGGAGTATTGGTTAGAGTTTGATTAGGAAATTATTACAGAGTTTTAGTTGTATAGGAATTTAAGAGTTTGATTATGAAACTCTTTTAGAATTTTATTAGGAGAATAGTTTTTATTTGGTAGGGAACTTGGCCTATAAATAATAGTGTAATCTCAACTATTTTTCTTAGACAGAGAGATATAATAAAAAGTGTTTCTTTGTGGAGAATTTTTGTGTTTCTTCACCGATTTCTTGCGAAGATGTGGTAAACCCCTTCCACCCCATCGTCTTTCTTCTTCTCTTTTCTATTATGTGATTTCTAGTCCTTCCCGTCCTACATCATTATAGCTTTTCCCATTTTACACCATGAGAACCTATGACTGATAGGTGTTGCAAAACTTTTAAATCAGATTTGAGGATGACATATACAAGTGAAAATGTGAAACCCTATCTCTCACTTTGGAAATGATTGCCTTGTAGTCAATTTCATGGATGATTATTGAAAGTCGTGGCTCCAGCTAGTTTTAGACCCTTGATTTCCCATAATCGATTTCCAGTTGGCCCTAGTGCTCTTAGTCCTTGGCTTTTGCTTTTGCATTGGGGCACCCTTCTACATTCAGTTTCATCCACCTGGGAGGATCCCAGGCTATAACATTGGTCTGATGAAGCTCTACGGGTAAGTCAAAATGAGCATAAGAACTGAGCAATGTCTTCTTATGCAAACGCTTCATCATGAGTGAGGAAAACGGACAGTCAATTGTGTTTTTGTTGACTTCCATAGATCTTGTCTCCCAAGTTACATTTCTTTCTATCGAATTGCTCAAAACGTTTTCATTTCCATGGAAACCATAATGAATTAGTGAGTAAATATTGAAATTCCTTTGTTAGGAAATGTTTCAACTTGTCTCGGAATGTTTCGAGGTGTTTTGGTTAGTGTTTCGAAGAATATATTTTCAATTTTTATCTCCACGGCATGAAATGATGGCCTAGTTGTTCTTGAGATAAGGCAATCCTGTATAAAATGCAAGGTGTCCTTGGCTACTCTCTCTAATAAGGTGTGTGAAGCATGTTGTAAGAGTTTTGGGAAATCCTCATTCCATTCCTAAGGTTTTATGTGCACAGGCAACCCCAATAAGTTGGCTGTGTTCTTGTACTTCCTGGGGATCTTCTCTTCCAACTTCAAGTCAAGCCTTGGTTAGAGATTGCCCCACAGTGTGTACTGATGGCCCAGTTGAGAGAAGGCAATCCTGCAAAACATCAAGGTATCTTCCACTACTCTCTTTTATAAGGTGCATGCTTCATGTTGGGAGTATTTTCCAGCAATCCTACTGTCATTGCTAAAATTTCATGTGCACAGGCAACCCTAGTAAGTCATTATGTTGTTTAAACACTAACAAGATCTATACTGCTGGTATCCTATTCAAATATTGGTTACAATTCTAACAATTTCCACCATAAACATGTAACCGACTTGTGAGGCCATGCACACTTTTCAAGGTTTTAGAACGTTGTTCAATATAACATTAGTTGTTTCTAAGGTTGACCTGGATCTTCCAACTTTTCTAACATGTTTTAGCTTGGTAGGAATGCTAAACCAATCGTGTCCAAAATTTGGCTGCATTAATTGAACATTTTTTAATGCCATTCCACCTTTGAAACGTTGGTTCAGATGATTCTGCATTATCCTTGGACTTGGATCATGGTTTATGGATGGTTATCATAAGTAACTTTCTTTGTGTAACAAGTGCCGTACATCTTATGACTTACGGTCTCATGAAACTGTTATGGACGTTCCTGTTTTCTTTTCCTTGTGTAGGTGAAAGCTGTGTGCTCAGCGTGTCAATTCTAAGTAGTTCAAGGATGGGTACATGATGTCTTCTACCTGTCAATGACCATAGACTCTGCTGTGAAGCAAGTCATGCTTAGACAGGTCAGATTTTTATCATCTGAAAAATTGTGAATTTTTGCTTCAATACTTAAGTTATAGTGCTAGACTTTTTTTTTTTCACTTTATAAAATTTGGTTGGTTAAAATTTTTCATATGTTCTCAACAATCATCCTTTTTCCTTTGGATTCTCAGGGTGTAATTGGTAGTAAGGTGAAAATTATTCTTGACTGCGATCATAAGGGCAAGCAAGGGCCAACCAACCATTTGCCTGATCTAGTGACCTAGGAAGCATGAATAGGGAACAGTGTCCTATCCAATACAATATAAACACAAGAATATGATAAAGTGTGAAAATATAGGATACTGTAATACATTAAAAACAAAATATATTTTACAACAATATTAATAATAAGACCTAACAAATATCAATTTTTTGATTAAAAATTGAAATA